GGGGGGGGGTAGAGAGAGAAAGGGCACAACGTACATCTTCCGGACGAGCTCTTGTTGGGTCTCCGGACCGAGGTACCCGTGGACGGCGGATTGGATCTCGAACAGGTGTTGGATGATTTCTTTTAGGTCATCTGGTGGTGAGGGGTTGGACTGCGTTAGTATACGGGAATGTGATGCATTGAGTCAGAACGTACGGTCGACGGTGGTGAGGGTTACTGGGGCCATGGTGATTGATGAGCTCTTGGTGATAAGAAGCTGAATGTCTCGGAGGTGGTGCGGAGAAGAACCTTGAGACTAGAAGAGGAGAAGAGGAGAAGCACGGCATACTGCGCTAACTGCTTTGGGAGATCCACCGCCCCGGTGCCCGAGCAACAATCTATGAATATACAATCAATCTGATCTATAGTGTCTCAACAATCGATCCATGGAAATCATATGCAGCTGTAAGTTATTAACTTTAAACATGTCTATCCACACCACCAATACTACAATTATAGCTCACACGCTCACATCGCTCACAACCACGCTCTAAGCATATATGTAGGTACTTATACCAACAACCAACTATACCTCCTTCGTCCGTAGACTATTAGGAGCCACCCGCGGCAACTCGATCTCCGTCTCCATCTCTAATCCCGACAGACTCGGAAACCGCCGACTGAAGTTGGCCTCCCAATCCTCCCCGCCCGCACTGGCTGGCGTCGCCGCCACCGTGGGACTCCTATCCTGACTGCCCGCTTGCCCTTCCATCCCCGTGGGCATGCGCAGACTCTTCGGTTTGGGAGGCAGCGCCGGACGCGGTGCCCCCGAGGAAGACCCCGGCCGCCCGCTGGCCGTAGCTTGTTTGCCAATGCTCGTCGGCTGCTCGGCTGGCGCACTCGCCCGGCTCGACCGCAGTTCCGTAGGCTTTGCCGGCAAAGCCCCCGCCGTCTCGTCCGTGTATCGTCCGTAGCCCGTCGCCGTCTTAGGCGGCGGAGGAGCCCGGGCCGACTCGCCGAGGAGTGACTGCACCTTATTCTGGATCGCCTGCGACCGTGGCCCGTCGCGCCACCCACCAGCCCCAGCCTGTCCGCCTTCAGCCACCCGTTTCCGATACTCGGCGGCCGCGTTGGCGACTCGCTTCTCCTCCTGAGAGAGTCGGCGCCGCTCCAGCTCCCGCCGCATCTCCGGCGAGATATCCTCGTTGCCGTCCATGTCAATTAGCTCGCTGGCCGGCTCCGAGGTCAGATCCGCACTCGTGAGCATCATCGGAGACTTGACGGGTGGCTCTTCGGTAACGGGTGACTGCACTTTGCTCTCCGAGTTACTGTGCTCGAACCGTCGAAAGGCGTCGCCGAACCGCCCCGCAAACATCTTGGTGCCGGACAGCGACAAGCTCGACAAGCTCGATCGTTTGCCGTGTTTGGCTGTACCACTGTACCGCTTGTCGCGCTTCTTGTTGCTTTCTTCTTCCCGCGCGCGTAGATAGTCCACGTCCGACGAGATGTTGGCCAGCGAGTCCGCCTCCGTCCGCGCATGCTGCAACGGTGCCCCGCCCTCATAGTAGGGCGACCGGGGCAAATCCAGGGACGAGCGCGCGCTCTCCGACCCACGGGGTAGGTCATATCGTGCCCCAGCATGGACCGACACTGGGCGGGAACGACCGTTGGCCGAGCGCGAACGCCCTGCCGACTCGCCCACCTCCAGATTGCTGGGTCGGCCGCCTTCGAGGGAGGGTCGGGGTGACGCCGACAAATCGGAGATCCGATCGGAGGACCCTCGAGGTTGGACCACGGCGTTCGTGGACGGCGATGGAGCTTTGGCTTTGAGGTCCGACTCTGATGGCTGCTTGTGGCTGGATGGGCGTCGCTGATGGTTGGCCGGGGGAAACTTGTAAACGGGGCGACTAGACGGCTTGTGATCGGCCACACCAGGCGTCGGCGGCGGCGAGGTCATCGTACCAGTCGAGACCATAGTAGGTCGCTGCGGGGCCGGTTGGTACAGCGGCACCGAGGCGCGTCCTTCATCGCGCGCATTCTCGACGCGTTCGACCGGAGCAGATTGGGTCGACGGAGGTTGCGTGGGACGCTGGCTGGTAGATCCCTCCGGACCCGGCGACTGGTGCTTGGCAAAGGCATCGTCCGCCAGCGCATTGGTGAGGCGCCGCGCAAGGTCATCATCTTCCGGACTAGACTCCGGCACGGCAGACTCAAAGTCGAACTTACCCCCCTTCTCGTGCAGAATCTGGAATTGATCCAACGAGGGGAAACGATTGGTAAATTCGTCCGCTGAGTCGCGGGGACGCTGGGCATTGTCAAGGACGGAGAAAGGATCCCCGGAGCCCCGGAATGGGGACGGACTGGGCTTGGCCGAGTGGTGCGGGGACTGCGTCGGTCTGGTGGGACGGCCGCGGCGCATCGGTGCGATCTCAGGAATGATCTGGGTCTCCTGAACCGGCGGAGAGAAGACGGCACCAACCTGTGGTGCCTCGGTGGGAGAGGGCGGTAATTCCTGATACCGGCGGGCTTCCGATGTGGAGCGAGCAGCGTAGATCTGTCCGAGTTATTAGGACAAGCAATGTGACAGGTAACCGCAGTACTTACATCACCGATGGGGACTTCCTTGCCCTGCATGTGACAGACCTCGCGCACCACTTCATAAATATTCGGCCGCTTCTGCGGGAGTTCCTTCAACATCCAAGCTGGCTGGGTTAGCGCGGCCATCACTGCAATGTCCGGGGACCCTACCGATCAGCATCTTCAAGCGATCCGAGAAGGCCGGGTAACTCGGGAACTTGTAACTGGCATTCAAGATCGCCATCTGGCCAACCTCTTCGAACGGGGTGGTATAATAACACAGCTTGTACAAGAGGACCCCCAGGGCCCAGATATCGCTCTTCTCGTCAATCGGCTGCTTCCGATAGACATCAATCATCTCGGGACTGCGGTACTGCAGGGTGGTATGGCGCTGGACGTCATCTTCAATCAACCGGCCCTCGGCGGCAGAGGTGGCGGCCGGGCGAGGGGGCGCGGCCGATCCAAAGTCGCAAAGCTTGTAAAGGGCCGCCCTGCCCTGGCGCGAGATCAGAACGTTCTCTACTTTGAGATCGCGGTGCAGAAGCGGGGGCTTGAGGTAGTGCATGCAGGCCACGCCTTCCGCCACGTCGGAGAAGATCTTGATGATTTCGGGCTCGGTCAGGCGATTCTGCAGCCGCGTGTTCATGAAGTCGATCAGACCGCCGCCATCGCAGAACTCCATGAGTAAAAACACTTCGTATCCACCCCCGCGGAGTTGTGACGCATGAGAGTCGATGTAGGTGACGATGTGCCGATGCCCCTTGAGCTTCTTCATGGTTTCGACCTCAGTGCGCATGTTGGCCAGGGCTGACTTATCCGGGACCGCCACGCGCTTGAGAACTGCCCGATCGGAGCCATCGACGGGTTGGGGTAGGCGCACTACGTAGACATGGGCGAAGCCTCCCTCGGAGAGGTATTTCTCGACGACGACGCGATGGCTGCCAACCTGAACTTTGGTCCCGGGTAGGAAAGTCCCCGCGGGGGCTGCGATCGCCGCTACCGGATTGTAGACGGGAATGGGCAGATGAGGCGCCGCATGACTCTGGTACGAGGCAGGGTTTGGTTGTTGGGAGGACATGTTGCGGGAGCGATCGGATTAGGGGGAGGAGAGGGGCGGAGGAGGAGGGGGCCCTCTCGGGGCTCGACGGTCGATGTGGCGGACAAAAAGAGGTCTATGGCTGCTGCATAGGACGCGAAATCAGGAAGGTATTAGTCGGTATATCGAGCCCGGGGTCAGTATCCAAGGGATCGGTGGTGGTGACGATAGTGAGGGTTTAAGGAGCTGAACCCGAGGTAGACGGGGGCGAGAGGACAGTTGGCGCGGGGAAGAGGGAGATGTTGTGAAGGGTTTCTCCAAAAATGAAGGTTAATGAATATAGATCAATGAGTCAGAAAGTAGCGGGGGAGAAAGCCAAAAGGCAGCAGCACAAACAGCAGCCAGCAGGACTGAGGGGGAATCGGAATGGGGTGGAATGGGGGGGAGTCGATGAATGACCGGGCAGGGGGAGGTGGAGGTCGGAGACGAGGGGATTGACCGCCTTGGACCCAGGAGGGCAGAATGCTATCAACAAGTCTATTTCGTTGTGTTGAACAGGTATGTTTACTTCAACAAAGAGTGGAAGAGAGGGGTAGAGACATATGTTAGCGAGCCCTTCTGCCAGCCTTTTCGTCTGATGTGTTGTGGTCTCGAGATAGTTGACGCAATCCGGTCCAGCATCGGGGGGAAGGCAGGCATCACAGGCATCACAGGCGTCACAGGCACCCGTGATGTTGGCCGGCGGCTGCAATTCACGGAGTCATCTCAGCATGGCTGTCAGGCGGAGATAATTTGGAGAGATGAAGGGGTCAGTCTATCTATGTCTATACTGGCTATCAGTCCAGCGCATCTATTAATAACCTTGAAACAGCGTTAACTACCACCGCCGGGGACAAGACGATAGAGGTTACTGGCCTGAGGCGGAAAGCATGTGGACGGGATGCAATGACATAGCTTATGTCAGCTTCGGCATAATTTCCTCTTAAAATCTACCGAGCGACCATCGCCCAAAGCGTCGAAACCAAAACAAACAAAGACCACCGCCTGGTCAGAGCATGCGAGCATGGCTCCACTATGGCTTGCAGTACTTGAGTATTCTACTCTATATCCTGTTGATGATATTATTATCCCACGGTAGCAGCAGCTCATTCTTGCGAAACTTAAGCCTCCTACGGATGAGTTCTCCGTGGTGGAGATTCGATGGCTGGCGGACTGGCTGGCGGACTGGCTGGCGGACTGGCTGGCAGACTGGAATGTTTGGGTCCTTGATAGAATCATTCCCCATGGCTTCTCGGAGATCTGCTGGGTCGCTTGTCCGCCGCAAAAATGTGGATGGAGATGGGGATCCGATGTGGGTATCGATCCGTAGATTGGAATACTCGAGTACTTACTTTATATGAATGAGTCTATGAGAACTGCCATCCTGTGGGCCGCGTATGCACTGAAACACCACCATTCACACACGCATCTTTAAATGCTCATCAAGATAGTTAACTAGATCAATTGAGTTATTAAGAGGTAACACCGACCGTTGCCTCAGAGTAAACACCCAAAGTGCCACCAGAAGTCTCCGAGGGTGACACTAAGTTGTCATTTGCCAGGATTATCAGTCAACTAATTAACTAGTTAACTAGTAACTATACAGGCTAGTTTGTAGTGTGTCTGTCAACGGTCAACTGTCCATTGTCCACTCCCGACAACTTCTTCTTCCAACTCTCCCCTCTCCTCTTTTCTTTTCTCTTCTCTCAACATCTCCGTCGCATTGACTGCGCATTGACTCTTCCCCCCCCCCCTCTAATTAGTGAGTCTCATCTCCTCCTACTCCAATGCCTTAATGAGAATTGAGAGAGCGAAAAAAACAAAACACTGACAGCGTCCTATCAGCAAACGCGCTGCCACCATCAGCGCCTAATTCATGACGTGCTAAACCACCATGCCCTATCCACGACTACCCCGACACGACCATCTCACTCACCTGCATTAACACTTCTCGACGGACGCAATCAAAATATCCCAGCCAGCTGCACCCTCCACCCCAAACATAACCTCAAAGAACCGAGTTTGACGGCCGCCCCCCATCTCTCTACCCCAGACCCTACAATAATACCCCAACCAAACCCACGGACCACCCGTTGATGTCGCCGAAACCAACCAACGCTCCACCCTCCACCCTCCACCCTCAAGAAACACGCCCTACCACCATCTATACCCAACTACGTACATCTATTATTCACATAATCTAATCAGCATCTGGAAGAAAACAATTACCCCACCCAAAAAATGGACGACGGTCCACCCCCACCCCCTCCACCACCCCACGGCACCAAGCCGAACACTACCCATGGCGAATATCGCAAAACCTCCGATCTCCCGCCGGGGAACTACGACATCTTCATCATCCCGCCGCACTCCGCGGGCTCCGGCTTCCTCTACCTCCCCTCCCTGCAGACCCAGCGCAACAGCTTCATCGCCGGCTGCGTCTCCACCCTCCTCGCCATGCTGGTCTGGGTGGCCGTCTCCCCGATCCTGAAGTCGTGGTACGCCGCCACCGTCGCCAGCGGGAACGGCATGGGGATCGCGATTCTGGCGGTCGGTGTGGGTGTGGCTGGGTGGGCGTTTGGCGCTGCACAGGCGGGTACTGGCGGCGGCGGCGGTGGTGGTGACGGGGCCAGCGGAGGTAATAATCGCGGGAAGCGGGGAGGTTTCGGATTCGGTGGGGGAGGTGGAGGGGGCTTTGGAGGAGGCGGGGGCCCGGGTCCCGGGGGTGGAGGTAATGATTATGCGCGCGGAGGGAATCAGGGCTATGGAGGAGCGCCGGGTGGGGGACACGGGCAACAGCACTACGGGGGAGGCGCATACAATAACAACGCGGGAGGAGCAGCACCTCCACCACCACCACCACCACCAGGAGGAGGTGGAGGACCTTATGGAGCAGGAGGAGGACATCAGTACCAACAACAGCAAGCAGGAGGACCACCACCCCAATCGTCACCGCCGCCACCGCCGCCGCCACCACCTCAACCAGAGCCCGAACCCACCCCTTCAGCATCCAGCAAGCCCTCCAGTGGCGCAGACTGGGAGAAAGCCCGCGAAGAAACGCGACGCAAGGAAGAACTCCGGCGCAAGATGGAAGCCTTCAAGCGCAAGCGCGAAGCCGAGCAGCGCGAGAAGCAGAAGCAGCGCGAGCGCGAGGCGATGGAGCGCGAACTGCGCGAGCGACGCGAACAGCTCGAGAAGGAGATGGCCGCCGCCAAGGAAGCCGCCGCGCGCGAGGCCCGCGAGCGCGCTGAGAAGGAAGCCGCCGAGGCCCGCGCCAAAGCGGAGCGCGAGGCCGCCGAAGCGCAGGCCCAGCGCGAAGCCGCCGAGGCCAAAGCCAAGGCCGAACGAGAGGCCGCCGAGGCGAAGGCGCGCGCCGACCGTCTGGCGGCGCAGGCGCGCGAGCGCGAGCAACGGCGAGCGGCCGAGGCCAAGGCCCGCGCGGAGCGCGAGGCAGCCGAGGCTCAGGCCAAGGCGGAGAAGGAGGCAGCGGAGAAAGAAGCCGCCGCCAAAGCCGCGGCCAAGAAGGAGGCAGATGCCAAATTCGCGGCCCTCAAGGAGGCCGCCGCGAAGAAATACGCCGAGAAAAAGGCCAAAGACGCGCAGGAGGCCGCCGCGGCTGCCAAAGCGAAAGCAGCACCAGCAGCACCAGCAGCATCGGCAACATCGGCTCCACGAACCCCATCCCCGACCAAGAAACCCCCTACCACCTCACGAACCACATCCTCCGCCACCGCCGACGACGACGCCCACTCCTTCCGGCCCTACGACCGCGTCCGCCGCCCCTACGGCACGGCCACGACAACCACCACCTCCAGCTCCTCCGTCTACTCGGAATCCTCCTCGTACGCGCCCTCCCAATCCACGGCGCGCACCGACCCCCCGCCCCCGCCGTCCAACCGGGGGCCCTACGCGACCAAGGACCCCGATAAAGTCGTCGTTCACGGCGTCTACGCCTTCAACCACGCCTTCCTCCGCACACCGGTGGCGCAACTCGTCGCCGGCCAGGGGATGGTCTCCGACGGGCTCGTGCTGCGCATCACCACGGAGGGACTGTTCATCGACGACGACGTCCGCGGCGTGGGCCAGCGCGAGTGGGACGTGAAAGCGTGGACGATGAAACTCGTCGAGGTGTGGTGCCCGCGCTACGCGGCGCAGCACCCGCACCCCCCGCGCGGCCCGCCCCCCGGCCCCTTCACGAAACGCACCAACGAGCCCACCGCCGAGGAATCGGACGCCTACCTCGCCAACCTGCTGAAGGTGTGCAAGAACACGTGCCGTCTGGCCACCCCGGCCAAGCCCGGCGGCGGGTTACACGTGCTGCGGGCGTCGGTGCGCGACCAGGAAGGGAAACGGTATGTGTTCGTGCTGCAGGAGACCGAGGGGTGGAAGGTGGCCATCGGGCTGCAGCGCTTGCGGCGCGGCACCTTGTCCCGCGCGCTGGGCGTGTCCGGCTTGGCGGCTCATGAGACGAGGACGGTGTTGGCCGGGTTGGGATATTGAACTTGCGCGCCGTGCCCGAGTCGCCTGAGGTCCAGTGCAGTATGTACAGCATGTACGGTACCGAAGCTATGGTATAGGTGACCCTGCTTCTCGTTCTCGTTCTCGTTCTTGTTGTGGGTAACAGTGATGATGATGACTGTATGAGCACTTGGCCTGCCTGTCTGCCTGTTGTATGCATTGCATTGCATGGCGATGATGTTGATACTACTTACTCCCTCCACCCCCATTCTCTCCTCTTCCTACCATTTGCTTTGATTGCTTTCCAGTTCTGAGTGCTTTGCTTCAGATATCCCCCCCCTTCGTTTTGATGATCCCGGCTTGGCTTGTTAAGCTTGAGATACCGACCGCTGAGTTAGGCTTCTCTCGCTCGTTCAATGTGGATAGTAACATAGAACATCGTACATTCAGTATATAATCCTATCCTATCCGATTCTATCCCTACCTGTCTGATCCCATCCTCTCTGGTGCACTGTTCCCTAGCTGTTGCAGCAGAGCCTGAGAATATAAATCCCTGGTTAGGTACCTGCGCAGTCAACCTAAGGAACCTTCGAACCCTAAGTTAACCGTCAGACTCAAACTCTACCAACCACCCCAAAGAGAATTACACAGCGTAGCCAAGCAAATCCCATGGCCATCCGAGTCTTACAATTTACAACCAACTCATCTACAACATATCCAACCTCCAGAAGAAGGATAGAGAGTAAAAAGTATTGATCTCATCCGAATCCAGGATCTAGAAAACAAAAAAGAGAGAACCTTATTGGCATAAACAAAGAATAAAATAAAATAAAAGGTGTGGCAAAACTCTAAAAAAAGTCACTCATCTCATCCCAGGTATATAACGCCTATTGCCATCACAACAGTACAGAGAAAAAAAAACCTGGCTAACAAAATCAAGCACGGGGCCCTCGTTCTCATCTGTCGTTATCGTATAGTAGCGAAGCTGGAAAGGATTCTTTCTCACTAGCGGAGCCCACGAAACCAGAAATCAAAAAAATAAGACACACTTTCTTTCCTCTTGCTTTGCCCTTGCCATGCATCATGAACGGGGAAAAGTGGGTGAGGGGAGGGAAGAGAATTAGAAGAAGAAAAAACAAAAGTCTATCGGATTCAAAACCGTCAATCGTCCCAACATTCAACGACATCGTTCTGTTGGTCATGCATGCTGGGATCGGAAAGGACTTCCAAGGTATTAGAAACTTCGTGAGGTTGGAGAGTATGAAAGGAGACACGGAGAGGCTGTCGAAGATGGAGGGAGTCGGATGGGGCGATTGCACGACGAGAAAGTGGGTATGTATGGTATGAGCGAATATGCCAATGACAAGGAGAAAAGAAAAGGACCCATCCCGGTTTATCTGTGATGCATCGTGAATTTGGCAGACACGGAAGACGGACTTTTCGTGCAATGCGCCCATTTTCGTCATGCAAAAAAACAAGGTTAGTGTACCCAAGCGAATTGGTCACGCTTAGAAGGAGAATCCTCCAGGGAAACCTCCGCCGCGCTGGCCACCGGCTTGAGCAAAGCCACCTCCGCCGTTCATCATGTTGAAGAGAACGCTGGGGTCGATGTTGATATGGGTGCCACCCATACCGCCCATACCACCCATACCGCCCATGCCGCCCATGCCGCCCATACCTCCGAAGCCGTGCATACCTCCCATGCCGCCGCGGCCAAACATGTCAGCCGGGTCAACGAGGTCGTCACCGTTGTCGTAAGAGGCGCGCTTCCTGGTCGCTCGTTAGTATGCTATGTTATCAACAGGAACCCAAGGGAGCACATACTGAGGATCAATCAGAGTCTCATAAGCCTCACCAATCTCCTTGAACTTCTCCTCACCAGTAGGATCATCACGGTTCTTGTCGGGGTGGTATTGAATGGCCATCTTGCGGTAAGCCTTCTTGATCTCCTGCTCAGAGGCATCCTTGGAAACCCCGAGGATCTTGTAGTAGTCTTTGCGCTGTGCCTTCTTCAGCTCGAACTCAGCCCGGCGGATCTCCTCCTGGATGCCCTTCTCCATTGGGTTCGTCTCAGCAACAGCCTTGTAGTCGCGCACGGCTTCCTCCCAGTTACCAGCACCGCCATGAGCCTTAGCACGAATCTTCTGTGCCTTGAGATAGCTGGGGTCCAATTTCAGAGCTTCCGTGCAGTCATTGACCGCATTGTCGTATTCCTTCAAGTTGATGTAGGCCTGGGCGCGGTTCTGCAGAATCTTGGCGTTCTGGTCCTTGTTCTTGGGGTCGACCTGGACGGCCTCGGTCCACAACTCGATGGCCTTGCGATAGTCCTTGGCCTTGAAAGCAGTGTTACCCTCCTCCTTGGTGCGCGTCAACTTCTGCACGGTGCGCAGCATCTTGATGGCCGCCTTCATGTCGGGATCCAGACCCAGGCACATCTTGAGCAGCTTCAACGCCTGATCAGTGTCACCCATGCCATAGAACGCGCGGGCGCGGATCAGCATCGCATCGGGATCCTGGCTGTTCTCGCGCAGCATGCCAATGGCGATATCCTGGGCCTTGCCGAAGGAGTTGTCGTTACCCATGCGCAAGTGCGCCTCGGCCGTCATCAGCGTCCACTTGCGAGGCTCCTTGACACCCTGACCCAGCATCTGACGCGCCTGGTCCAGGCAGAACAGCACCATCGACACACCACGGTCTTCAGCCAAAGCCTCCTCGGCTTGCTTGACAAACCGGAGCATCTTCTCGGCGGGAGCCTTGTCGGTAGCGGAAGCCGGGGGCTCGACGCGGGAGAGCACATCGAGAGCCTCGGTCGCACGACCCAGACTGACCAGAATGCGGGCGTGACGATACATGAGCTTGGTATTGGTGGGGTCGAGTTCGCGGGCGCGCTCACAGTCCTCCAGAGCGGCTAGGTACTGGTTTGCGGCCATGTAGGCGGCCGCGCGGTTGGACAGGTAGACGGACGAGTCGGGGCTGATCTCAAGGGCTGTCGGATGTGACGATTAGATCTTGCCATGAGTGCACGAGTCTGGAGACGAAAGAACCTACCCTTGTTGAACTCCTCAATAGCGCGTGTGTAGTTGCCATCCTTGAAGAATTTGTTACCGGCCAGCTTGAAGTTGTCGGCCTCGGCAGTGTTGCCGTTCGAACGGTGGGGAGGGGGCGTAGGGCTCCGTTCCGTCTTGCCATTGACGCCATTGGTGTCGACATCCATTGGGGTGCGGGATTCTTCGCGAGCAGCAGCCATTGCGGAGAGTTGACGGAGTTCGTCGGGATGAAGGTTAAGTGGGTGGAAGTCGGGGTCGTGAGTGTATCGATTCCGGACGGCGGACAGCGACGCACGAGGACCGGAGACTGACTTAGTCCGAACGGAGGCTGACTTGGAGGGGGTGGAGGAGGAGCGACTGTGGTGAGTCGGCCGAGCAGTGGTGGGACTGCGCGGAATGGAAGGGTGCTGAGTCGAGGCTGGAACCGATGACGACTGCGGAGCACGTGTCGACGAGACGGGACGAGAAGCGGCGGAGGAAGAGTGAGAGTGTCGAGAGGAAGAAGAAGAAGAAGAAGAGTGAACAGTCTTTGCCCGAAGAGGAGGGGGAGGTCGAGTGGAGGGAGGAGTAGGAAAAGATTTGGTCGCCACCGGCGGAGGGGGAGGAGGAGAGGAGGCGGGAGACGAGAGTGGAGTGGATCGGGTGGAAGTCGCCGCAGAAGAAGACGGGGAGGAGGAAGTGGAAGAAGTGGACAAGGGGGAAGGGGAAGGGGAAGAGGAAGAAGAGGGAGAGGAAGAGGAAGATTTGGTAGACTTGGATTTGGAATGTGAGGATGATTTGTGACGAGAGAAGAAAAGATGCGGGAGACCCATGGTGGATGTCCCGCTGATTGGTGGAGCACAGCGGAGGTGTCGAAGTAGAACGAAGGCGGTGGAAGAAGAAGAGAAGAAGAGCAGATGAGCAGATGAGGATGATGAGGATGATGATGATGAAGATGATAGCACCAGCAACAACAAGTCTAACACCCAACCACTGCACCACGATACACTCTCAACCGATCACTCAGTGGACTGCACCGTGTACTGTACCTACTTTCTGTTCTGTCCTATCTGGATCCTGCTGACTCACTCCCCAAACAAAGAGGGGAAAAGAAAGGATAAGCACAACCTAGAATCAACACTGCAGAACAGAACAGCTCCCAGAGCAGAGCAGAGCAACAGCAAGACCAAGAAGAATAACAAGAACAACAACAGAGCAAGCAATAAAGCAGAAGATTCCAAGGTCAAGTCCGAATCTCCCTCAAAATAATAAACCCACCCGCTGTCACCGGCTGTCAGGCCCCAACTCTTTATGGAGTCCGCCCACCCGCCATAATTCCGGAGGCTGGACGTTTCCTGGCCAATATTCGCCCTCCTCTTAGCCTCTCCCTCTGCTCGCCTCGTCATGCTCCCCTCTTTCAATCAAACAATTCTCTTAGGCTAGTTCCTGTCTTTCAAGCTAGCTACCAAACTACCAAGCTAACAAGCAAGCAAGCAAGCAAGCAATCAAAGCGCTTCCATTTGGTTCTACCCTTTCTATCTATCTGGGGTGCTGCTGGTCACTATCACTGAACTGGACAGTCTGGCCGATAGACATGGTGCGCTAATAAGCAAAAGTACTGTATTGTACATTGCGTACCTCCTCACCCACTCTGCCCCTCTCTCTCTCTCTCTCTTGCTCATCCTGTCTCATCTCGTTTTCTTCCCTTCGCAAAATGCTTAAGCTTCCTCTCCTCCACATGAAATGGCCATGCTCCAGCCCAACCCAGGCCCGTGCGCTCCAATCAAAGTTCAATGATCGCTTTGGGCCCGTTGCACATCAGTCGCAAGCTAAGAATTAGCAGCAGATTCAGTAGTAGTAGCCGCCGCCTTCTGCTTGTCTACACCAGGCGCCTCGCCAGATTGAGGCAGACCACCTCCTCCTAGCAAAACTCCCAGCTGCAGGTCGGCCTCAGCATTACGGACAAGATGTAGGATCTGAGCTTTGAAGCGCGCCTTCTTCTGTGAGCATTGTTTGAGGTGCGGTGCTATAAGGGCACGATGGTAGTCTTGGCGAGCGTCCTGCAATCGTTTCTCGACCAACCGCTCGATCTTAACCTTCAACTCGCACAATATTGCTTGAAGGGTCTGCTCAACTTGATTCGAGACACTACGGAACAACTGTTCCCCTTGCCTCTCGGCATGGTCGGACATCGTGGTGCGAACCGCTTGCAATGTGCCGATGCCTATTCGTGCCGATCAGTCAATGCACTTTCGACCTCACATGAGGTCCCTTGACTCACCTCGATGCTCGGCGCATGCTTCGTAGGTCTTATGGAGTTCCGTAGCAATTTTCTCGCTGAATTTGTCGAGCGCTTCTTTCTGCTTTGTCTTGCTCCACTCTTGCAGATCGTCCATCTTATGCCGCAACATTTCGTGGGAAGTAACCAGTTTGTTCTGTAGGAGCTGGCGTGTGTATTGGGGGACCTCCCACTTTGTTGATCGAATCGTTTCAGAGTGGAAGCGGCTGAGAGCATTCTCCAGTTTTTCACGCAGAGTTTTGTATGCTTCGGGCAATTTTCTAGCGAACGCTCTCGAGGAGGTTAGATTAAAGCTCAAAGATATAGCTGCACACTCGACCTACTTGCGCCATCCGGGGCTGGTTTTGGCAAGCATAGGGACTGCTCTGAAACGGGGTCAGTTCCATTAATTACGAGTGATGCACGTCAGATCTATCTTACAGTTCGTCGTTCATGTTCTAGATTTCCGTCAGCTTGATTTCGATTCCGATGCCCATCAGAGGGAGGAAACAGCTCACGATTTGCTTGAAAACGCCCTGGCGGCGACAGATTGCTTGGTAGGTATTATACCGGAATCCTCCTTCGGTTGAAGGTCTATTCCAGGATGCAACCGTCGGAGAAAACGCCTTGTTTCCCTGGCGCCATGCTTCGTCTGACAACCTGTTAGTCGGCTTTCTCGTTGTCGAGCTATAGACTTACTCAGCAGGCTGATGATCTTGACTCTTTGAATGGTAGAAATACAACCATCCCGGCTCTCATTCATGGTCTAGTGTAGTCAGTCAGGACTGCGCTGGAACAAATCCAATGTCGCACCTACCTTGGTCATGTCGTGCAGTGCGATACTGAATCCGGCCTCAATCTCCTGTTTCTCCTGGTCAGAGATAGCCGCTGCTGACTTAGTTGGAGAGCACCATATCGCTATGGATTGAAGGAGCGAATTGAGCGCAATCAAGAATCGTTTCGCAGTTCGTTCACGGGATTTGATAGTCAGCGCAACGCAGTACCGCTGCAGAGCAGGAATCTCTGTCTGTTCCAGTTGAGAGAACCCACCGACCCGGGTGTCTGGCTCTGGACGGCTACGAATTCCTTGATAAGCTTTAGCGGACACACAAAACACCGAAAGGTTTCGTTCGAGTTCACTATAGTTTCTGGCCGGAGTCTGGGGAATACTTCCATCAGGCTGCTCATCGTCTCGATCTAAGTTCGCAATGGTCTGAGCAAGGTCACGTCTGATCTCATGCTTCGAAAAGTCATTCCGAGCCTCAATGCATCGTCGGAGATCCTCGAACTCGGTTGACTCGTATATCTGAATTCTTTTTTGGATGAGGCGTCGTTGTTTCTGAAGGTCCCTCCGCTGGGCTTTGTATCTATGCAGCTGACGCAGGAGTACTGATTGATCATCATCAGCTTCATCTGGGTCTTCGATGCTTTCTGAAAAGGTCATGGTCGCGAGCAACTCCTCGGGCGAGCTCCCAGCGTTACGGGCCTTCTTCCTTTTTTTGGGAGTAAGCATGACATCGTCGAGATTGAAACCTTCTTCCTCTAACTCCGACTCTAGCTCTTCGATCTTCTCTTCGATGTCGTCCAGGTCATCGGCAATCTTTTTCTTCGATCTTCTGCTTGCTTGAAGCTCTATCTTCAAGGCCTCAAACCTTTCCGATGCTTCAACATTCTCAACAGGTGGCAGCTCAAGACCTAGAGATTGCACCACTTCCATTGGAACGATGTCGTCGGTCTTGGTGCAGATAAATGTGATGTCGTTGAATGCACTGTTCATGTGCATCTGTATTTTGAAATTCTTGCCCAACAGATCATGAGCAACTTTATCACTGACTGCGCGATTGATGGGCGCCACAATCCAATGAGCAGAGCAACAATTCATGTACTCCTTGGCCACGGCCACCCGCGCTGCATTCGAGTCGTAGACTCCGGGAAGATCAACTAGAACAGCTCCTGTCGACAAAGCTCCGACCTTCACATAGACCCGCACAACGCGAACAAGAGGCCACAGTCCAATGCCCGGGTCGGCGGATTTCAGCTCGTCTGACAGATCTATCGGCTGTGCAGAAGTGCCCTTCTTGGTCAAAATCTTGGACCTACTCTTTTTCTTGCCCTTGCTATCGATATATGACTTAAGGCTCTCTGAGAAACTCTTAGAGTCATTTTCTTCAATCACCATACTCTGGCCCAGTAGGTCGAATACAATTCTGTCCTCCAGCAGCTTCGAGGGCGAGGTTTCGAGAAGATGCTCCCGCTTCAAGGTCGGATACACAGCCATGATCTTATCCAAGGCGACCGCTGCCTCTGAGTCCTTTGGCATCTCGCCGCGAGCAAGTTCCTCACTATGGTCACCAAGCTCTGCAAATAGAATGTTCAACTCGCGCTCCCAGTGTCTGAGCTCAATGAATCGAATTTCTGCTCTGTATCTTGATGCTTGTTTGTTGTAAGAGACTTCCACTGGGACCGCTGTCGATGCTCGCATGCAGTCCGTAGTGAGGATGTGTTTTTCATCGATTAGCGCGTTGATCAAAGACGATTTTCCCGCGCCAGTGCTTCCGACAATCCCAATGACGACCTTTTCCCTGCGAGCTTTCGAGATCGTTCGCTTGATCTTGGTAACCCAGTCGGCTTCAGTGTCCCAGTCATCGGACGCGCCAAAAACTTCGCTCATCTGCGCCAGCGCCTTGAGGCCCTTCTTCACGGCTGTCTCCAACGCCTGTATGTTACCATCCGCGGCGTTGCCAACATTGTAATCCTCCGAAGGCGCTTCTCTCATCGCAGTGTCCGGATTGTCAACAGTTTGCGGAAACTCCCTGATAGCAGCGGGGGCTTCCTCTTCTTTAACTTGGACTGGATGCGGTCTAGATCCAGTCTCGGAGCTCAGCAACTTTGTCACTGCTATTTTGAAAGCATCGACTTGGGACATCGATTAGCATAGCAATCATAGTTCAACGAAGTGAAGGAGATAAGTGCAAATGGGTTCTGTGTACTTACGCTGGATTGAGGAAGTGGTTCCCGCTTCGTCGGGATCTAGTTCTTCGTAACACTTTGTGTAGAGCGCATTTGCAAACTCGATATCGTTCACCTGCTGCCGCTTGTATTGATCCGAGGAAGCTAGCTCAAGAGCTCTCTTCAAGTACCTAGCTCGGACTTCGCGTTGTGCGACTTCCCACCTCGTTGCGAAATCGGGACATGGGGATGCTGCAATGTATGTTCTAGCCGATCCCATTGCTCACCCAGCGAAAAGGTCAACAAAACACATACCACTTTTGTGCCCCTTACGGTGATGAGCATCCCGAAGCGACTGTTCAGCTACATAATGTGTCTTGGCCAGGTGGTCGATTGAAGCCACATCATTCGGCTCCGACAAAGTGGCGGTCAGATCCATGTTCCTTTGCCCGAGGTACAGAGGGCCAAGATTCCAAGCTGTACCTCAAGAGCCAGTAGACCTGTAGAAGCGAGGAATCGAGGCTGAAAATCCTTATCCGAATAATTTCTTTCGAAGAAGTTGTGGTGTTGAGCGGTCGTAGCAGGGAAGAGGAAGGCAAAAGAGAAAGAATGAAGGAGTAGGTGGTGTCAAGAGATAGGGAAATGAAAGACACTTGAGGTGAAGAAAGAATAAGAAAGAGGTTAGGATAAAAGACAAGTGTGGGCAAACTTCCTCTCCGTGTTATGGCGACTCAGGCCGGGTCCAGCATTCACTGACCGTCACTATGTTATGCTGTAAGTGGGAAGACATGTGCTCTACCAACTTCTGCACAAGTCCCCCAGTGTTTTAATGCGACACGGGGTGTATACCACTAAGAAGCAAAGGGTACATGAAGCGCAAGTAAAAGATATTACAATCTTAAAATAGGAATCGGCACAACTGTTTAGCGATAAAGTATAAGTAGCTGAAGTAAACCAAGACTAAATCCAAGTTGGGGGTATCATCGCTCTCTGATGCAGCAAATAGGGCCAAAATGAGCAGAAAAGCAACCAAGGTACAGACGAAGAAACCAAATGAACCACAGCTTGACTCTCCAAAGTGTTTCCCACTCATCATTCCAACACAAGATGAGACAAAGTACTAATCAGGGATTTTCTCAGCCCGAGAGAGCCCGGTTTGCTCTCCTGCGAGCCACAGCTGACCAGCGCGACCTCCGGCCACTGCCATCTTCCCTTGCTCGATTGGGAAGCGGAACAAAAGGTCGATCGTAGATGTGATGTTCATATGGTGGAGGTTGGTCGGAGTATTCCGAGTCGGAGGCGTAGTCATCGAACACTGATGGAGAGGATGGATGCCCACCTCTACCAGTAGCACTGTGTATCGGGCGAGGAGCCAGCGGGGAAAGATATGGTGCCGATGACAAGGGCGACGGAGGCTTGAGGACCCATAGTTCTTCCGACTCAAGCCAGATGAGCTGGCTAGCCTGTTGAGTGGATGTCTCGCGGGACACTGGGCCAGTGGTGCGAGTGGGCTGAAGAGTGAGGTCTGTCATGCTCCTACTTCGCGACGCCCAGGGAGAATAAGCAAACGATGACGAAGGCGGAGGAGGGGGCAGGTTGAGAGCCGGGTAGGAGGATGTCGATGGGCTTGCTTCGCGAGGGCTAGGTGTGCTCAGGTCCCCAGTTGAGTGTATTCTGAAATGACAGCGGCGGCAGAGGCTAGGGTCCTGTCGCTCTTGGGGTGAATATGGATAGTAATCTGCCTTAGGCCTAGAAGAGTCGCATGCAGAGGCAGGACGCTGAGGTAGTGTGCTAGCCAAGCCAGTATCAAGGCGAATACGTGGGACAGTCATGTATTCCTTTGGGCTCTCCGATGAGACAGTAAAGCGGGAATCCGCAATGGGAGGGCCTTCTAGAGACGAGAGATCCATTTGGCCAAGTAGCGACGGTGGGGTAGGGTTCAGAGCAATGAGTTAAGGTAAAGCACAAGCAGCCGAGACAGCCTGGTAGCGAGAAACAACCATGTACACTTCGGGTGGTACGAGTCGATATCAGGAGGCTAAGGTGGATGGGGATACGAGAGCTGCGGGAGGGAAATGCGAGAAATTGGACAACAAAAGTCCCGACAGCGGCCACGCTGTTGTTTAATAGACATGAAGTCGAGGCGGAGTCACCAGCATCACGACGCCGAGCGTCTTGCTGAACTCTTCGATGTGCACGGTCATGACGGCTTTCTTTGACCGTCACAGCAACAAAGAAGTCAGATGGGACAAGACAACCAACAGGGCCAATCCGCACGGAAAGCCTTACTTGCGCCTCATTGTGGGCTCACCAGATCCAAGCTATCTTGGGCGCAATGGGGGGGAGCGGTGGAGCAGACAGCTCATGAACAGGTCGGGAAGGATTGAACGATCTCAATCTGTTGGTGGAGGAGACTCGGGTTGCCCGGCTGGTCTTCGCCTTGGTATGGAAACCAGCCAGGAATCCGATCCGTCGGGAGCCTTCTGCCCCCGCTATAGAAGGATCTTCCTGTTTACCCTGTAACCTCCGATCCAAGTCCCATAAGATTTGACCCATCACTTAGAGGAGGGGCAGAGGGCGTACCGCAGCAGGAATTGGGGGAGGGGGGGTGCACCCTATGTTGTGTGATGTGCAACCACTATGCCCAAAACAGAACGAAGCAGAACGCGGGGACGCCGAGAAAAAGCATGCTTTCCTGCATGGAGCGACATCCATGGACTGCAGACGCCATGGTCAGGAGCTCATGTTTCAGAGTTGAGAGCTCTCAAAGGGATTGAGGAAGCGGAGGCTGCGTGATGGCCGCAGGCGTTGGTGTGTTGGTGGCAAGTCAATGGTTCGGAACACTGCCACTTCCTTTGTTATCCGAGCTTGTGTCCGCTTCTGCATTACGGCGGAAAAGGTCAATCTATTTGGGTCATTAGACTCCAGATGGATCTCCACCCCATAGAAGGATGATAAATAAGAGGCCCCTTTTCCGCGTGTCTGTGTTGGTGGTGGGAACAACAGTACGAGGTACAACGCGAGATTGTTGTTGTTGTTGTTGTTGTCAGACCGACAATGAGAGAGAGGAAGGGAAGGAAGTATGAGAAGCGACGGGCCGAGACCAACACATGACATGACCAGCCAGCCCGAATGGGGGAGGAAGAGGAGGACCGGAGTCGGAGTTCGTAGTCAGCAAGCCTTAGGAACAGCAAGAGAAAATCGATTGATCATAAATAACGATAACTACAGCAATAACAACACACGCACACACACAGCCACCATCAAGTCCCTCGCGTCCTAGTTGGCGACCAGATAACAGAGACCCTCCTCTGATGCTTCTAGAAACCACCTCCAAGAATCTCTCCCAACTTAAAAGATAGGGCTGACGGTGACACAATTGACCAGATAAAGTCACTTTAATTTAGCACATGCTTTTCATGGACTGACTAATAACCCACTCCAACATAGCAAATGAAACGAGCGATGGACCACCACCACCACCCATCTCACTGGCAGTGAGCAGTGAGCAGTGAGCAGTGTACAGGGGGCAGGGGGCAGGGAGGCAGTGCTCAGATACTTCAGCCTCAACTCTGCTTGGTCACCTCCGTGTTGCAGGACGAGAATCACCAATGAAACGCACCGCGATCGGATCTGACCCGGTCGCCGATTGATGAAGGATTGCCTGTGAAACCCTCGATGCTGCGGCCCCCAACCTAACACCCATGCACAATCACACCCTCCCTCTCTCCCTCGTCTCCAGATTCAGCCCCATCGATCAGCCTATCCTTGCCTCTGGATTTTGTGGGCACAATTGAACACGTCAAGACCCCAGCAGCAGACTAGACTACCTACGGCTGGACGAAGCGCTCGGTGGCAGGTCACCCACCGTGGGCTGGCTGGGCGGGCGGGGCGGGGTTTTCTGCGCAAGTAATCAATCTGCAGCAAACTCTGAATTTTGAGATCTCGCGGTCAGAAGGTAATATATTCATCAAGTGACAAGTCAATCTGAAAAAGATCGAATCCAAGATCAAGAAGAAAAGAAAAGTAGCATTGGTAAAGTAATCTATTACTGCTTCGAATTGGGTATGTGAGAGCAATTTCATGGGTTACATTAATCGTATCCAGCCACCAAAAAAAGGCTTCACTGAACCCCCCAAGGCGTTCCAGGAAGCATGTAGAGAAAGTTAGATAGGTCAAAGAAATATTTCAAGCAACGGATCGGATTTCTCTTCCAGAAAGCAAAACCTCGACACTAAATATAGCACAAACCCCCAACAGGGTCTCTTCATTTATACACACGCGCCCTAGGTTATAGGGTTTCCCCCGCCCGTAGTTGACGGCCGGACTCTCATGAAGGACCTGGGGCTACTATGGACAAGAAGGGGGAATCTAAGCAAGGAAAAGGGCGGCGGCGGCGGCGGCACCAGCGAAGGCAAAGGAGTTGCCGTTGATGGCGCTGGCAGCACCGGTGTAGAGAGCAGCAGAGGGGGAGGGGCTGTGTACCTGGTTAGCGTCTGTTTGGTCTGCATACATGCTGCATCCACTGCAGAAAAAAGGGGAAATACTCACGTAGCGCTGCCGCTAGGGTAGCCGCTGCCGATGGCGGCGGCACCGCTGGGGATCAGAGCAGCGGACTTGGTGGGCTTGCCGCTGCCGGGCTTGCCAGGGAGGCCAGTGGCACCAGCACCGAGAGTGACGGTTGAGTAGGTGACGGTGGGAACGCAGGTGGTCACAGCGATGACAGTGACGGAGCTGCTGGCAGCGGCGGGGGGAGCACCACCGGCAGTCTCGGCAGAGGCGCCGGAGGGGACAACAGCGGGAGCCGAAGGAGCGGAGCCGGAGCCGCTAGCGGGAGAGCCACCGGCGGGGGAGCCACCGGCGGGGGAGCTGCCAGCGGGAGCCTGGGGAGCAGCGGTGGTACCAGCGGCGGAGGCACCCTCGGGGACAGAGGAAGTGGGCTTCTCAGTGACGGAGGAAGCAGGGACCTCGGGAACGGAGGTGGTGGTAGCAACGGGAGAGACGCCCTCAGTGGTGGTAGCAGCGACAGCCTCGGGGGTGGAGGTCGAGTGGACACGTCCAGGGCAGTTGGTGACGGTGGGAGCGCAAGAGATGATGGTTACATCCTCGGTCTGGTAGACGGTCTCGACATCCTGGGGGATGGCAGCAACGAGGCTGGCGAAGAGGGCAACGGTGGCAACGGAGAAACGCATCTTGAATGTTGTGTTTGTGGGTGTGGTGATAAATCTAAACCGTCAAGGTTGATTCTTTTATTGAGTTTGGTGGGTAAAGAGAGTGTGGACAGTTGGGCTGTGTTTAAAAGAGCGGCAGACCGAAGTCAAGAGGATTGATTGCTTCAAGCAGTTGAATCTGAGGAAAAGAGAAACAGAGAAGAATCAGAAAAGACTGGAGCAGGAGGAGGGGGGAAATGAGGACCTTTGTATCATCCGGGAGATTAACCTGGAGATCGTTTCAGAGCCAAAAAGGGGAGAAGCGGGCTGCAGGCGAGTGGAGAGAACCAACTTGCGTCTTAGTCTAAGTCTTGGATGTCTAATGTTGGCTCTTGGGGCGCGGTGTAGGAGAGTAGGTTTAGTCCAGGATAGTATAGTCTAGTTTGGTAGTTTGATACTCGAAACCTCATAGGCAGTTTAGGGGTCAAAAATGGGTCCACTCTCATCTGTTTTTTGTTTTTTTTTGGGGGGAGGGGTGTTTATTTTTTCACTATGGTCCTCGTGGGATAGTCTCACGGTTGGTCCCTGTGCCCACTGCCCAGGTTCGGTCCAAGCGCGGGCGGTTCTGAACTGGTTCTGAACTTCTGATGGATGATCGGTTGTTCAATTGCTTCTTTCGACCTTGTCGACTTCCCTTTTTGGTTGGTTCTTCTGCGCTTAGGGGTTCTTTAGTGTCCCTAGTACTCCGTACTCGGGTCGGGGTCGAAGTATAGCACTCCCAGCTATAGGTTTCCTTTTACTCGTACCTGCATATCATGTATGTAGGTACCCTTTGGCAGTATGAGTATTTCGTGAATGACCGGACCAAGCTCTGTGGTAGTTTCATGATTCATGCAGAGTACACAAGCGAGGAACAGAGAATGCGTGATGCGTAACTTAGACTATGTGCTGAGACTGGCGAGACACCCAGAAGTTTGGGCTGTCACACCGCACCCAGCAATAATATGAGAGTCAGGGGCAGCAACTCAATTACGGAGTGGTCTAGTCTACTCTAGTCTACTGAGCCACAGGAAACGTTTGGAGGCCCGCTTAGTAGTCCGTGTTTCACCTTTCCTCTTTAGGCCAATCAGCGCGCGCTTCTGTGGGTCACACAACAATTGCTGAAGTTGTCCCTGACGCCACCGACCATTCACCGTCTTGGCTGACATCCCGCTGTGGCTCGCTTCCCCGCTGTCCTCCCCTTCACGGAATCCCAGTGGCCAGCACAGTGGGTCGGCTCATTGCCCCTGTCTCGCTGCTGCGAAGTTTGGCCTTCTTCCATTGTGCTTGTTGTTCAGGTGGTTATTGTTGTTGTCTTGCTTCGGCAAAAGGCTTGTTGGTAGTCGTTGGTAGTCAATACCAATACTCAATAGCCTGAGTAGCCTATAGTAGACTACCGAGTCAAGTCCAATGGGCCAAAAACTAAACAATGGATAGTGTTGTCCTATTTTTGCTCGGAGGTGATTCTTCCACCGAGGAGGTTGTAAACCCATTCTGAGAAGCATGCGGTTAGCAACCCGACTGACTTTTGCCGACTGGAGTCGATCAAATAATCACAATACTATAATGCCGCTGGTCTTGACCATAGCGCCTGGTGCTCGAGGGCAACGGGCTGGGCGAGGGTTAAAGCCTCCGTCCCGAGTCCTCGTGAAACCCTTGCTTGTTTAGGATCTTCTTTTGAGCTTGTTGCACTTCGACCGATTAATTCCCCCCGCGCATGT